ACGCACACACACACACATTTACATACACACGCACGCACACACACACACACACATACACACACACACACACATACACGCACACACACATTTACATACGCGCACATGCACACGCACACACACATATTTACATACACACACATACACTCACACGCACGCACGTGCACACACACACACACATTTACATACACACACACATACACACACTCACACACACACACACACACACTCACGCACACATACACATACACACATACACACACTCACACACACACACACACACATACACACACACACACACACATGTCTGCCGTCTTTAGACGCCCAGAGCTGTTCTTGAATCGAACCAAAACATTATGAATCGAATCGATTTGCTGTTTGTATTGTTTTTTTTAGCTGAAAAAGTTAACATGACTTGCAGTAGAGCATGCAGCTGCCACCATGGTTTCACAGTAGTGTTCACGCCGATGCAAAGAACTGTGGGTTATTTGTAGCAAGGGATTCCCCTCACGATTGCTCCATATTGCTGTGACAGGAGGTGGTGCTTGTCGTACCTGTGCGTAGGCGGGCTGATGCGCTGTGTTTCCTCTCTCGTCCATCTCAAACAGACCGTCTCCATCCTGCACACCCTCGTTCTTCACCACCACATGCTCGCCACCCAGCACCTGCACACAGTCCTCACGCTCACCAAACGCAGTTCCATTCAAACACCGCCTTTCAAAACCCAAGCACGCTTTACATTGCATTAACAGATAACCTATAATGGGGGAAGGATTAACTATAACTACAATGAGAGGAGACAGAGGTTTAGGGCTAACTAACAAAATCTCATTTTTTCAGTATTCAATTTTAAGAAATTTTGAGCCATCCAAACTTTAAGATCATGTAGGCAAGATGTTAACGAAGAGGGAGGAAAAACAGAGTTGGGCAACTGTGGAAATTAAGACCATGGCGCTAAATCATGAAACGGTGTCCTAACATTTTATCCTACCCATCAGATTGTCCTACCAGGGTTTACTGCGCATGTGCACATCAATATTGCATAACTTTTCTCACACTGAACAACAATAATGACTGTGTTTGCATTACTGTAAGGGTAGGTTTAGGTGTAGATGTTAATAAACCCTAATTTGACAGGTAGCATTTTTCGTTGTCAAATGCTACTGTTGTAAAGGGAGGTAGTAAAATCTGACAGGGTAGCAGTGGCTTGTAAAGAGGATCAGTGTTAACGTTACCTGCAGTCTCAGCGGCTGTCTCTGTTTGCGCGTGTGCGGCGTCTGCCGGTCTCTCTCGGCGTCTCGGTCCGCGTCTCTCTCCTCGTCTTCACTGAAGTGCTCCACCCCACCCACCAGCTCCTCCCCCACACCGCCGTACTCTGCCCCTCCGTCGCGCTCGTTCGCCGGGGCTAACTAACAAAATCTCATTTTTTCAGTATTCAATTTTAAGAAATTTTGAGCCATCCAAACTTTAAGATCATGTAGGCAAGATGTTAACGAAGAGGGAGGAAAAACAGAGTTGGGCAACTGTGGAAATTAAGACCATGGCGCTAAATCATGAAACGGTGTCCTAACATTTTATCCTACCCATCAGATTGTCCTACCAGGGTTTACTGCGCATGTGCACATCAATATTGCATAACTTTTCTCACACTGAACAACAATAATGACTGTGTTTGCATTACTGTAAGGGTAGGTTTAGGTGTAGATGTTAATAAACCCTAATTTGACAGGTAGCATTTTTCGTTGTCAAATGCTACTGTTGTAAAGGGAGGTAGTAAAATCTGACAGGGTAGCAGTGGCTTGTAAAGAGGATCAGTGTTAACGTTACCTGCAGTCTCAGCGGCTGTCTCTGTTTGCGCGTGTGCGGAGTCTGCCGGTCTCTCTCGGCGTCTCGGTCCGCGTCTCTCTCCTCGTCTTCACTGAAGTGCTCCACCCCACCCACCAGCTCGCCCCTCCCCCCGCCGTACTCTGCCCCTCCGTCGCGCTCGTTCGCCGCGATGTTCTCGTTCGCCGTGCTAGCGCAGCGCTCCGCATTCAGCATGTAGCCCATCTCCTGCGAACAGCTGGCGGGCTTCAGCATAGCCCCGCCCCCAGACACGCCAAGCCCCTCCCCTCTGCACATGACCCCGGCCACACCCATCCCATCTCCTCGACAAGGGCCTCCAGCACCGACTGACTGGAGTTATGCAGGTGGATGTAGTGAACGGCCTCCGAACCCGACGCCATGACCCGACCGGATGCCCCGTGACACTGAAAACACAAAGATATATATACAGTTAGGTCCATATATATGTGCACACAGGCACAACTGTTATTATTTTATTTATTAATAATTATTATTATTTCATGAGGAAGTCATGGCCTAATGGTTAGGGAGTCGGACTTGTAACCCGAAGGGTTCGAGTCTCAGGTCCGGCAGGGATTGTAGGTGGGGGGAGTGAATAACCAGCACTCTCTTCCACCCTCAATACCACGACTGTGGAGAGACCCTTGAGCAAGAACCAAACACCTAACTGCTCCCCGGACACCGCAGCAATATGCTGCCCACTGCTCCGGGTGTGTGTGTGTTCACTACTCACTGCTGTGTGTGTGCACTTGGATGGGTTAAATGCAGAGCACATATTCCAAATATGGGAGACCATACTTGGGCACACATCACGTCCTTTCCTTTCCTTTCCTAAAGAATATGGGCTTAAAGTGCACACTCTGAGCTTTAATGTTGAGGGTATTCTTATCACAATTGGAGGAAAGGTTAAGGAATTAAAACAGCTCCTTAATATGTACCTCCCCCCTTATTCAAGGGACCATAAGTAATTGGACAGTAGGGCTGTGATGATAACCGCATTACTGCAGTAATGAGATGCCAACCGCGGTGTTGAGGTCAACTCCGTCATCACCGCACTTTTTCCTTTTTTCCGGTCCCAAAAATAATCTGTGCAGACACTGAAGTCGAAAGGTAGGCTATTTGCAGGAGGAAGCCCTTGATCTGCACTCTGACCGCTTGCCTGGTGGTGGGATAATCAGGCTCGATTAGAGGTCGACCGATTGCATTTTTTAATTAATCTGCATCAGCCGATTGTGCTGCAAATTAGGCCGATTTATAGGCAGGCGCATCTGCGGGCAGCTAAGCGTTGTTGCAGAGCTCCGGAGAATCTCTCTCTGGCTGCGTGAGAGACGGAGCAACTCACACTCTGCAGCCGCCGCTCGTTCACACACAGCTTCAGC